TCGCAGGCTCGGGGGGAGCTCGGCCCTGCCTGGCCCGGGCGTCCGCGGGAGAGCCGGCCCTGCCGCGCTGGCCGAGGGGCAGCGGGGTGGGGAGGCAGGGAGGGCTTGGATTTCCCGGTGCTTTGTGCTGGTGACCCGCACCGAGGGGGGTGCTGGGGTGCACAGGGGTGCTCCAGCATGCAGGGAGGCTGGAGCGTGCAGGGATGACACGGGGGGAGCTCGGCCCTGCCTGGCCCGGGCGTCCGCGGGAGAGCCGGCCCTGCCGCGCTGGCCGAGGGGCAGCGGGGTGGGGAGGCAGGGAGGGCTTGGATTTCCCGGTGCTTTGTGCTGGTGACCCGCACCGAGGGGGGTGCTGGGGTGCACAGGGGTGCTCCAGCATGCAGGGAGGCTGGAGCGTGCAGGGATGACAGAGTGTGCGGGATGCTGGAGCACACAGGGATGCCGGAGCACACAGGGATGCTGGAGCTTGCCGGGATGCTGGGATGTGCAGGGTGCCGGAGCGCACAGGGATGGTGGAGCACACAGGGATGGTGGAGCACACAGGGATGCTGGGATGTGCAAGATGCCGGAGCACACAGGGATGCTGGGATGTGCAGGATGCTGGAGCACACAGGGATGCCGGAGCACACAGGGATGCTGGAGCTTGCCGGGATGCTGGGATGTGCAGGGATGCTGGAGTGTGCAAGGGATGCTGGAGCATACAGGGATGATCAAGTGTGCAGGAACAGGGATGCTGGAGCTTGCCGGGATGCTGGGATGTGCAGGGTGCCGGAGCGCACAGGGATGGTGGAGCACACAGGGATGGTGGAGCACACAGGGATGCTGGGATGTGCAAGATGCCGGAGCACACAGGGATGCTGGGATGTGCAGGATGCTGGAGCACACAGGGATGCCGGAGCACACAGGGATGCTGGAGCTTGCCGGGATGCTGGGATGTGCAGGGTGCCGGAGCGCACAGGGATGGTGGAGCACACAGGGATGGTGGAGCACACAGGGATGGTGGGATGTGCAAGATGCCGGAGCACACAGGGATGCTGGGATGTGCAGGATGCTGGAGCACACAGGGATGCCGGAGCACACAGGGATGCTGGAGCTTGCCGGGATGCTGGGATGTGCAGGGATGCTGGAGTGTGCAAGGGATGCTGGAGCATACAGGGATGATCA